AACGTCATAAGTGTCAACGAGCGACGTCCGCTATGACACTTTTCCCCTTTTCAATTCCAGCCGCCAAGGGCGACACATCGATTTCATATATTCATATAAATCTTTGTCACTTATGGACTAATAAAGATATCAAACTAATAAATACAGTCCACTCTCATTCACCACAACGAAATACAGATGAACAAGTTTTTTTTTATCAAGTATTTTAACTTTATGCCAGTTTCAAATAAAATGAACTAGTTTTAAAAATCTCATTCGTGAAATCTTCGTAACGGGATAGAATAACCTAGTGGCTTCAGAAATCACAGATGATTTTATTGACAGCTCTCAGAATCATAATTGAAATGTCAGAAAATGTCATTTGATACTCACTCGTCTATAATAAGTATTATTATGTAGTATCTCTTTTCACTCGGTATTGATCGTATCACTTCGCATTCTTTTGTTCAATTTGTAATGGATATTTAAAAAAAAACAATGTTACAATACTTACAGAGTACGAACCTTAAACAAAATGACCGAGAAATACGTAAAGATGTCGCTACAGCTGTACCAAGTGGACTACAAGTCGTACCTGCTGGACTTTAAGTCTTTGTCGGGCGAACGGGAGGAGTCCGACGAGGAGGGCGGGTCGGTGACCCCGGTCCCCCCACCCCCGCCGCCGCCGCCCTCCCCGCACCCCCACGGGCACCACACCATGGAGTTCTTCGAGATGTGCGCCGCGCTCATCATACAACTGGCCCGGTAATCTGTGACGTCATCATGCTCGCAGGTAACGACTCCTCCTAGACTAGTCCTGTCGATGGAACATTAAACGAACTCATTCTAAATCGAATTTCGGATCGCGAGGTAACATTCTAGGGTGTTTAGCTTCGATGATCCTTTATACAGTTACTAGCTGACCCGGCAGACTTCGTAGTGCCTCAATCGATAAATAAAAGACCTAAACTTTTGTATAAAATAAACTTAAAAGAAACAAAAGGAATCCGTCCTACGGGGGACACTTCAAAGCAAAAACAAAATTGTTATTTTTATTTAATTCCGAAAATTTTCATTCATTTATCTACCCTTTAAACCTTCTCTGGAATTCCACAAATAATTCAAGACCAAAATTAGCCAAATCGGTCCAGCCGTTCTCGAGTTTTAGCGAGACTAACGAACAGCAATTCATTTTTATATATAAGATTTGTAAATCGTTTCACGTTTTAAAACCCAATATATCAGTCGCTTCTCAACTTGAAGTTCGCTTTCAGAGGGGGCTGCGTTAATACACAGATATATTAACTGGACAGTCTTTATTAAATTTTGTTTTACTAAATCAATCTTCGAAGGTTGAGAAGCGGTGGTCCGTAAAAGTGTGAAGTGTGCGGTGTCCACACAAACGTGTACGGTTTGATCAAATATTGAATGTATTATAGTTGCCCGTGATCCGAATTCATTGTTCTTATGTAGTCAAAAGAAATCTAGTTACTTATTTATGAAATTCTTATCCTAATCCTTAAATCACGTTTGTAACTGAGAATATTATGAATATAAATAAATGTTGCAAGACATAATATAAACTTTGGCCAGCACTGCACTTAAAAAAAAAAGTTTTTTTTTTTTTTTAAATATAAAACGTTACGCTTATTGAGCAGAACGAATATTAAAAAAAAAAAAACGTTCTGTAACTTAAAACACCAGTATATTATTGTTGTTAATTAATTAAAAAAATAATTAAACGCACTAATATTTTAATTATTTAAATTAATAAATGCACTATTTTAACTTTTCGAGTAATCTTGTTTAAGAAAAACATGATAAGCAATAATAATAATAATAATAATAATGATAAATAAACATTAGTATTTGCGTCAAAAAATATTTCAAGTATTATCGTGAAGACGCCTCATATTTTTTTATGTTTAGTACCAAAGAATGTTAGGAAGTGCCTTTTTGTATTAATAAAAAAAGAAAGCTGAGAGTTAAGAAAGGTGAATAAATCATAGATTCGAACGTGAATGTAAATTTGATGGAATACAATTGTGATTTTGCACGGTAATGACTTTTGTAAAATAATTCAGTGACGTTTAAAATGTTTTTTTTTACGAAATGATTGATATCAGGCTCCGGGATACATTATACAGGGTGTAAATACATAATAATGTTTTTATTTATTTATTAAACATAGAAACATGTTATTTTACTGCGTTCATATTTGGTGAAATTTAATGCGAACGATTTATTTGCACTTTAGTTGATTTATTTACTTTGTTCGCCTAGTTCGCAGATGTGACGGGCCGGGTCGTCACTTTGTTTCTTTCGTTCGTTTTTTGTCCCCTACTCCCTCATCTCCAAATACCAACTGCGTGAAACCAGCAATAGTGTTTGGAGAGAATAGCTATACACCTGTTGGTGCGGGTAACCATTACGTTATGTCGCCTCCGAAGGGATTACGCCTTGAGAGAGTTGACGTGAATCGCACGTTGCCTCGCTGAGTTGATACCGACTAAACTCAACAAGATCTTCCTGTACCGGTCACCTGGGACCTACGGCCCACTGAGTTTCTCGCCGAATCTTCTCAGTGGGTCGCGTTTCCGATTCGGTGGTAGATTCCCCGAAGCACTGCTCTTGCTAGGGCCAGTGCTAGCAACACCTCCGGTTTGAGCCCCGTGAGTTCACCTACACGCTAAGGTAACGCTGATATAGCCTCTCAAGGCTATCAGCATTGGTAGGAAAAAAAAGCGACCTGCGCTACCTGCTAATAACGCGCGCCGATAGTGCGCCTTTGCACCCAGACAGTCTCACGAAAACAAGGGTCGCACAGCTATCACTTCCTCATGTTGCGTAATGTTCTCGAGTGCCGAAATACTAAGGGCCCCAAGTCTTAACTGAGTTTTACAAAACCTTTCACAAACCTTACAAAAGTTTTGCCTGTATTCTTTCCACTCCGACACTCATTAGTGCGGATCAATTCCATGGTAAATTTGATTCTGCAGTCGTTCTTTAGTACGTATGGAAGGATTCTCATTGCTGCATATCACATTTGATACAATGCAAAAAATAAAATATTTCTTTTAAAATAGTATATCACCTTGTATTCTGTATTTGTGTTTCGAATACGTCTCAGTATAGTCACAACGGCTGCCCCACCCTTCAAACCGAAACGCATTACTGCTTCACGGCAGAAATAGGCGGGGCGGTGGTACCTACCCGTGCGGACTCACATGCCTATATAAGGTCTCAGTATAGCCGTTGTGACTATACTGAGACCTTAGAACTATATCTCAAGGTGTGTGGCGCATTTACGTTGTAGATGTCTATGGGCTCCAGTAACCACTTAACACCAAGTGGGCTGTGAGCTCGTCCACACATCTAAGCAATATACGTCTATCTATACCCTGTATTAACTATTTCTTTTATTATAAATAGCAGCTTATATGTATTTAACTTTTTTCTTAACATTCAATATATTAAAATATCTCGTATCACGAAGCAAAAGCCTTAGCTTACCTTTGGACGTGAACTCGTAGTCTGTCTTTATTGGACGCTTTAAATCGAACATTCTAATTGCACCGAGGCATAAATAGGCAGAACTGTGTTACAAACCCGTACGAGCTCACAATATGCCCTACCATCAGTAGATCGTGGCTGTATGTACATATATGCTGTGGTATATCTGTTCGAAATAAATTTGGCGCCAAATTTAAATATAGAGTATGCTAAGAAAAAGATTATCCATTTGTGTAATAAAATTAATTAAAATTTATAAAATACTTTTGAAAACATATAGCTAAAACTTGTGTATAAATTAAAATAATTGTTACCGTGCAAAGATATAGGAATATAGATATAGAAAACAATACAACGACACAAATAGGTTAAAACAACAGTCAAATTCCGAATTGAATTATTATTAATAATAATAAGAAGGTTTGTAAAAAAGTCCAAGCAATAGAAATGGTGGTGGTACGTAGATGGAACTTAAAAAGACGGGTTGAAATTGTCTGTAGTGATTGTTAATTATTAACGAATACGTGTACAAGATGTTATTTTTTTGTACAGCTTCGCGTTTTGTATAGTGCAATGAGACCTTAATAAAATCTCCTATTTATTATATGTTTTAGTTGTTATTTCATTTTTCACACCTTTACCTTTACATTTGTAGCTGATTTATGTTCTTTTTATTATAATAGTTACGTTTGGAATCAATAAAATTAATTTATCAAAATAAATTCCTTTGATACAAATGCTTCTGAATTTATCAATATATAAATAAAATTATTCAGTTTGTCGCTGAATACACAGTGTCGGGTATATTCGTATCATTTAAGTTAATGTGACATGAATATTATTACATTAAGGAAAAAACAAACATGGCAGTTCTAAGTCGCGCTGTGATATTCTTATTATATACTGTTTTCCATATGTTTGGAAAAATATTATTGATGGTATCTTCTTTTTTTTTAAACGGGTTAAACGAGCACGTGGATGCAAGATCCCAAAGAATTCGTAATGTGAATGTCGTCACACAATTATTTTGCATAGATTTGCTTCAAGAACATAAATGCCACTCCCCTTGACATATAAGTTTTAAGTCTCAGTTTTATAGTGCATGGGCTACTCCGCCCTTCAAATCGAAACGCATTACTGCTCCGCCGCAGAAACAGGCGCGGTAGTGACATCTGCACGTGCGGACTCACAAGGCATTCTAACAACCGTTAAATGAAGGTAGGTCTGAGACTCAATTGTACCATAGGTAGCTTGGCTCTGCCCCTGGCATTGCTGACGTCCATGAGCGACGGTGACCACTTAACATCAGGTGGACCGTATGCTCGTCTGCCTACAAAGCCAATAAATAAATAAATAAATAAGTTTGACTCTAAACCGGAACACATTATGGCAGAGATAGGCGGGGTGGTCGTACCTACCCATGCAGGCTCATAAGACGCCCTAATACCCGAATTTTGATACATTATAAAAATAAGATCAAAGTTTACTGCTCAAATAAAACTCGGAACCACAGAATACTGTAATTTATTACAGATCTAAAACAAAATTTATTTTAAAACAAATTGGTAAATAGATACATTATAATGAAACTAGTCTTCCGTGGTTGTCTAACAATTAAAACAAACAAAAAAATTACCTATTTATTTATCACTTAGTTATTCTACAACAAAGTATAACATAAATGACTTGGTCGCGTAATCACGTGGCAATCATATTTTTTCACAATAATTTTGCTATGATTCTCGCTTAGCTTACTTTTATTTTACAAAGAAATTTCTCATTTAACTAATAATTTACAGAACCATATAACTGGTAGTCTTTCGTTTATGGTCGTAATTTTTTTTTAAACCATAGATAATTGTTTTTTTTTTTGTTATGACAGCGAAGCACTGACACATCAATTCTTGTACACATAAGTTCAATTCTGGAGTCCTTTTAACATTGTTGTTTCAGAGAATTTTTTTCCGTTCGTGATATCAAGTTTACAGAGATATAGAAATTGCATCAGTAATTCTTTTAATGCTAATCTTCTTAGGGTCTAATTTCAGAATGAAGTGTTCTGGTTAAGTTCGATGACCTTAGTGGTTGAGTCGTGTGCGGTCAGGGGCGGGGGGCGCGGTCACGCGGGAGGGGCGGGGGGTGCGGTCTCGTCGGGCTTGCTCTCGAGGGAGAAGGGCGGGATGCGGCAGTCGAACGTGTAGCCGTCTTCGCGCTCCATCCTAAACGTGCCCCTGAAAATCGAATTTTATTACTTCTATTATTATTTTTCTTAGATGGGTGGACGAGCTCACAGCCCACCTGGTGTTAAATGGTTACTGGAGCCCATAGACATCTACAACGTAAATGCGCCATCCACCTTGAGATATAAGTTCTAGGTCTCAGTATAGTTACAACGGCCCACCCTTCAAACTTCACGGCAGAAATAAGCAATTTCACTAAAATACCGCTGTCCCTGACTTATGAGGTTACAGAGAGATACATTTAAAGTTTACAAAGATGTCGGTACCACATATGGCCGCTGGGGGCCTGCAGGCTGACGTGGCTGCTGTACTGGAAGGCGGGGGCGTGCCTCGCGAGCACGGGCTCCTGCCCCACCACGCCGCGGCCCCGCACCGTCTCCAGGGTGCCGCTGAGCGAGAAGATGCGCCAGTGTCGCTCGCGGAGCTGGACGGCCTGCGCGCCGAGGTTCTCCAACCGGATGCAGTAGCGCCACTGTCAACGCAACCATTTTCGAATACTCATTTTGAAATTCGATATAATTTTTTTTAAGAGATTTAAGACCTGGTAACTAAGACCTTCTTTTATTCTACATTCTTATTTTTATAAATAATGATAATATGGACTGAAATGAAATGAAGATGATTAATTTGATTGATGAAACATTAAACAACTGGGATGAATTAAAATGAAATGAGATGAAATGATATGGGATGAAATATAATCTCAGTAAAATTGTGTTTTTTTTTCATTCTTTATTAGAGCCATACACCTATTAGGTTAAGTCATTTACTGAGATTTTTTCAATGGACTTTTTGGGCGATTCCGAGAAGTTACGTCCAGTGGCTTTGTTTCATTTTCCCTCATTTGTGCACTTTCACATATATTAATCAGTTAATAAACCACCGTTATTACACATTTAAACCTAAAGAAACACTAAATAGACAAAATAAGACAAATCACACAACTTCACTTGAATTATGTTTGATCGTCATGAAAATATAAATACGATCGAATTTGATGGCAATATTCCTATATATTTTTTTAAAAGGAACTTCTATCGGCTAAGCGTTAAATATTGAAGTTTTAATTTTTTTGAAGTTTCACTCCTAACACATTGTGATGTCTGCGGTCTCCAGTAACCCCTTAATATCACGTGAGCCGTTAGCTTAATTACCCGTCTACCTCTAAAATAAAATTAAACAATAAATAGTCAATGTATACATTCACTATTTGGTAGTAAATTTTACCACAACATTTAGCTTATCACCAGACAATATCAAAAATATGATTTTAAACATTGTTTATAACGCAATCTCGTAAATCACTGAGGCACTTGGATTGTTCCTACTTAATTATAACGTATTAGTATCTACCTACTATATACATAAACAAGCTTTTCCCCACGACTCCGTCCGCGTGGAATTTTACCCCCCACTTCATTTACGTAGAAAGTGAAAATATTTTTGAATTATAGAATGTTAAAGAAGCTATTTAAACCCCTATTTTGAAACATTATTTATTGGTGCTCCACTTGTATTGGTCTTACCGTGATGCTATATAGCCTATAGCCTTCCTCAATAAATGGGCTATCTAACACTGAAAGAATTTCAAATCGGACCAGTAGTTCCTGAGATTAGCGCGTTCAAACAAACTCTTCCGCTTTATAATATTAGTATAGATATTAAAATTTAAGTTCTTGATAAAATTATTGTATTGTTTTTAATCGTACTTACCCAATAGACAGCCGAGTTCTGCGACTCGCGACTCCCCATATAGAACGGTATCACGGTGACTCTAACACCTTCGGTCGTCTCCCTGTGCACGTCGCTGAGCTCTAACCAAGGATGGTTCTTCTTCTGCCACGCCCGCAGGGTCTCTTGGGCAATGAACGGCGGATCTGAAAAAATATAGACGTTAGGAAATTTTATTTGTAACTAGCTGACCCCGCAGACTTCGTAGTTCCTCAATCGATAAAGAAAAGACCTAAGCTTTTGTATAAAATAAACTTAAAACAAACAAAGGAATTGGTCCGACGGGGGACACATCAAATGGAAAACAAATTTGTTATTTTTATTTAATTCCCTTTTATTTCTATTTACCTTTTAAACCTTCTCTGGACTTCCACAAATAATTCAAGACCAAAATTAGCCAAATCGGTCCAGCCGTTCTCGAGTTTTAGCGAGACTAACGAACAGCAATCCATTTTTATATATGTATATAGATATGGGGTAGAGCTGCATTAATTGTTGCAAGGAAGACAAACAGTCAACGTCGCCCTAAACACGTCAGATCCTCCCGATCCACTTTTTTTTATTGTTTCTACCTAAGCTGATGGCCTTGAGAGAACATATCAGCGTCACCGGGCGAGTCACCTACTCGCTCACGGGGCTCAAACCTGACGTTGTCGCTAGCACCAACCCCAGCAAGAACCGTGCTTCGCAGAATCTACCACCCGATCGGCAACGCGACCCATTGAGAAGATCCGGCGAGAAACTCAGTGGGCTGTGTCTGAGGGTTAATTTACTCGTCGAGCCCTTCGTCGCAAGCGACTGGTTCAACGAGAACGATGACCCGATCCACTAACGGTGCTTTTAAGTACCTCAAGCACCGGTCATCTTATTAGAATAAATAGGTAGGAAAGAAAAGAAGGAAGAAGCTAAGAAGTTTTATTGAGTGCGCAGCTACACGATTGGTAGCGTCAGTGTTTCTGAAGCATAAGAACTGTTATCTGTGTGAAGTTTATACGAAAAGAGACTTAAATACGTACATCGAGAAACGGGAATGTCATGTTTAACTATAGATAAGATTTTCGACAATGTTATGACTGAAAAGTAAACTATAATACCTTTATGGTACGCACAAAATCGTGTACCGCAACTACAAAACGCGTTTGCATAGAAAATAGATTTACCGCAGAGTTTTAAATGTGTTCATAGAATAAAACACAAATTTTACAGTTAATTGGGTCGAACAACAAAATCATCAGGCTTACATAACAAAACACATAACTTGTTTTTTATTTTTTTTCCTACCTAAGCTGGTAGCCTTGAGAGGTTATTCCAGCGTAACCTTAACTAGTAGGTGAGCTCACGGGGCTCAAACCTGACGACGTTGCTAACACGAACCCTAGCAAGAGCCGTGCTTCGCAGAATCTACCACCAGATCGGAAACGCAACCCACTGAGAAGATCCGGCGAGAAACTCAGTGGGCTGTATCTGAGGGTTAATTTACTCGTAGAACCCGTTGCTTGCGACAAAGGGTTCTACGAGTTGCTTGAAGTACCTAAAACCACCGTTAGTGGATCGGGAGGATCCGAAATGACGTGCTTTGGGCGACGTCGACTGCTGTCCATTCTTTCCGCAGGATCGGGGATGTAGTTACCGGCGGCCACGATGAGAGGGTTCTCGTGTCGTGCCGCTTTGTCGAAGTGGCGTGTAGTCACTTAGATTTCATAATTACAATAATTGATTGATATAATTATTAAATATATTATAATTAATATAATTACCTTTATCAGGATTGTGCATTAGGAATTTATCGAAGAGCTCATGCTGTAGGGGAACCCTTTCTACAGAGGCATAAGGTATAATATCGTCGTGAGCTACATAGTCGAGACCGGGGATCGCATATAGGCTTCGACTAGATTCTTGGTTGCCTAGGAACGTGACCGCTTCAGTTTGAGCTCTCTGTAATAAAAAAACAGTTTCATTATCGCTTGTGGGCTTTACTCATTACATCAGATTAATTGAATATGCAATTTCGAAAAGGGCACATGTCGCATATTTTGTCAAATACGTTTTTTTTTTTTCATATACATGTAGTTTTGAGGCTTTCCTACACCCATTTTATAATGAATCCAGTAATTTTCAATTGCTAATTAACACTAAAATTTAACTCAACAGTTAATATTTTAAATTTGACACTGCTTTAGAAAATAATCACTTTTTTTTTCATTTCCTGAACATTTTACATATTCAGAGATGTGCCCTTTTCGAAATTGCATATTCAATTATACTTTATGACCATTCGAGAATGGAAAGAAAATCAAACTATCAATTTGAAATGAACGGTAGGTAACGGCTTGGCTCTAACCCTGACTTTCTTGACTTTGATGGGAGACGGTAACCACTCACTATCAGGTGGGCCGTATGTTCTGTCTGCCTACGTCTGCCTACAAGGGCAATAAATAAAAAAATAAACGTCCTAAATGTATTTTTCTCGTTTCTCGTTATTAAACGAATTTTTAAACGGAATAAAAAAGTCATGAATTATAGTTTTCTCAGGTGCATAAGTAAAGTACGGTCCAATTAGAGCAGCCTTTCCCAAAATCGGCGATAACGCCCCCTTGTGCGGCGCTGCAGGCCTAAAGAGGGGAGCCGGTAAGAGACCCAGAAAAAAAATAGGGGGCGTTGTGTAGTCTTGGGAAGCGATTTGTAATTTCATCTAGGAGGACTCTTAGGCATCGACTGAGCTCTCGCTATCGTGGTTTTTAAGTAGATGATAAAATGGGACTGCTACAAAAAAAATTGTTCTCAAAGTGGCCAGTAGACAAAATAAGTTTGGGAACCCTTGAATTCGAGTTAACGGAACCCATGCACATACTGCTCCATTTTTAAAGATGCTATGTGCTGTTACTTAAATAATATGAGAATGAACTAAGAATGTACTTGATTAAGAACAACGTTAGTATTGTGGATTAATCGCATTATGATTTTTATTGTCTTTAATCACTAATTAAACCATACAAAACCAACCAGATGTTTAATTTAATTGTTAAACACTATTGGGTCCGCAACAAAGTTATCGCTGTTTTTGTTGATGAAAATGTTGCTTTATTGTGATAAAATTATTACAAATCTATCATTCAAGATATTGCCCATTACTAACCACAACTTTTTCCATGTTTTTAGTTGAGTTCGAATACCTTGACGGTATTAGAGTTAGACTTTTGGGGACTATCCACGAATTAGGCCGTGCCTAGATATGAGCCACACTCCTGACCAGCCATACCATCCATGTATCACCTTTTCTTTTCATTTTTTATCGATAATTTGACACAAATTAAACATAGAATAAAAAAAGCTATAAAATTGACAGCACCTATAAATTTTTATATATAAACTCGCACTTGCAGTAAAAAAATATAGAAGTTTTGCCCTTTCATTTTCAAATGGCAAACTTTAACTTTAACTTAACAACAAGTTTTATGGCAAACATGATATAATTCAAGTGAAATCAATAAGTATGTTCCTTTTAAGAGTACATATTTCTGTAAATTTATACATATTAAATTTCACAATACTGTTAGTCCTACTTTTTTTTAATCAGCCTTTCCGAATGAATGATTTGCAAAAAATGTATTTAACTATATGTATAAGTGAATAAGCAATCATACATACATTTTTATTTCAAATTTCGCATTTTATAAACCTTGTTAAATCAAAATTGTATAAAACAGGTACTGTGTAAACTGGGTGATAGACTTCAATGATTTTTTTACTCGCTTATATTTCTTACCAACTTAAAAATAAAAACTAAGAATAGCACTTTTGTCTTTTTGCAAAATTGTTTTTTTAATATTTGGATTCCACTTCACTTTTAAATAGTAGTAACTTCTTTCGTCAGTTTGATTATGGAGAATCAATGCAAAATAGAAATTAAACCCAAAACTCGGCAAACAAATTAAACCCAAGTGTAGAGGTTTCAATAGTGAAATTATTATCTTTTGTAATTCTTAAACAGCCTGTGCATATTTTTATGTATATTACATATATTTTTAAAAACAACTCAAAATTACAAAACAAAGAATAAACAAACTAAATAAATGGTGTTTTTGTTTTAGCTCATTATAAATTTTGAAATGTTATCAATTTGTCATTTCAAGGTTAACAATTTTTTTACAACTTTAGTTGAGGACTTGTTAATGAATTTAAAACATATATAAGCAACACAGAATAATGATACACGATTTGTTTTGTAACAACAATTCAACTAGGTATTCCTTATTAGTTTTTCAATAATGAAATGATACACTCTTTAAATGAGTCGACTATTATCAAAGGCGGCAATCTGACTTTTGGACAATGATTGGTAAATCAGAAAAACGAATTATTGACTTTGTATTCCATTGGCAGTCACAAAACTCTTCGGAACGACATCTTAGATAAATAACAGGTTAACTATTAACCTTTATTTAATGCAGGTTTTGAACCGTATTCTTTGAAGGAGACGATTATATTCAAATAAATCTGTATTGACATATCAATAAAATTTTTTTGTCCAAATGTACAGATTGCCGCCTTTGATAATAGACGACTCAAATATAAGTTATTGCTTTGAAGAATGATATACCTATTTAAATGATGAAAGTTTAAACCCAATCTTTGAAAAGTTAAGGATTAGTAACATTTATTTGTTAACATAATCATTTCATGTACCTTTTTCTTCCATTCAGGCCTCATGTCGATGTTTGTTTGTAAAGACAAAAATATAATTGCTTTTAATATCGCTGAATTTGGAGAATGAACACAAATTACCTAATAACAAGCTATATTAAGCTACAAAATAGCAGATTGCAATGAATTTTTTTAAATATGTTACACTATGAGATGCAATTCACAATTATTTCCAATAAACTAATTTTAAAGGTTTAAATGTTTTTTTTTTGTTTTTGAACATTCAACCCATCCAAAATTTAAACTTTTTTTGCTAACAACAATGTCCTTATGAAGCATATAACAAATTTATCATATACTTAATATTGTTTAAGCATATTTTTTTCAGTCAGTTATAGCTTGATGAAACAGTTATAAAAACTATTCTCATCTGGCTTATATGCAAATTTCAATGCTTAATTAGCCAATGCAACAGGGTTAAGGCCAAGGTCATTATTTACATAACAATACATTACACTTACTATATATGGAGCATCCCGAGTGTCTATGAGAACTTGATAGAATGTATGTGTCCTGCCTTTAACTTCTTTTCCCGCATTCGTCAAGCTATCACCCGATGTTTCAGATGTGGAATTATCAGGACTCTCCTTCTTATTTGTAGCATCGCGATCGTAAACCCTTGCAAGCCATGGAAAAAGTATCACTCCACGATATCCAAACACTTTATGCAATATTAACTGTCCTGTGTCATATTTGCCCGAGGTTTTAGGAGATTCGAGTTTCCCAACTTCTGCCAATCTGTTAAAATTGAAAAAAGAATCGTAGGTTATGCGTGCGAAATAAATTTGAAAATTTAAATTCATTCAAACTGTAGAGAACTTACCTGGTATAATGTGCTACGTGAGTTAACAAGAGTCTAGAAGCAGTCAATCGTAGTGGATTTGATGATGCAAATCTCAACAACAACTCCATCATAACATTTTACTATTTCATTTTTCTTTTTTTTGTTTGTCAAAAATAGTTGAAAAACCTATGAAAAATCTACCTACCTAAATAAATTGACTCATTGACATTTGTCATATGTCAATTTTCTTTTTTTGGATTCAAATCAACGGGAAATGAGAACATGAGAGCAGACATTATACACGAATAATGAAGAGTCCATTTTTTGTTAAAAATAGGCTGACACTATGATTATTTAATGATATATTTAATAATTTGTAGGCAGCGGCTTGATTCTACCCCTGACTTGCTGAAGTCCATGGGTGACGGTAACCACTCACCATCAGGTGGGCCGTGTACTCGTATACCTACGAGGGCAATAAAAAAATAATTAAAATTTAATAAAAGTATTAACTTTATATTAATTTATTCGATCCTATTGCATAATTATATGATTCATAACTAGCTGTGCCCGCGAAATCGTCCGCATGGAATAGTGACTTTGGGTAGCAGTTTTTGGACATGTCTTTTGGTTTATAAACATCGTCATTTGGGTATATAGAAAAATCTTATTTAAAGTAATGCTTTTTTTTTATTGCCCTTGTAGACAGACGAGCATACGTCCCACCTGATGGTGAGTGGTTACCGTCGCCCATAGATTTCAGCAATGCCAGAGGCAGAGACAAGCCACTGCCTACCGCAAATGCTTCTCTATACACGACATTAGACGTATAGCCATCGAGGATCAAAGGATACAGGGTTGCTAGAATTGCTAACATGTGACAGAGCTACATAAAGCTGACCGTGTGAAAAACAGTTAACACTTAGATCTACAACCACAACTTTTAGCGTCTGACCTTATTTATTATCATCGCGAAACATAGGCTCACTGGAAACGCGATCGGCAGTGAGTCATGCTTCTCGTTCTTCAAGTGTCTCCTGAGACCGGACTTTTGCTATCCGAACTCTCTGAGAGCTCAGACGGATTTTCCTATCAGTAAAGGTCTCAGACTCAAGCAATGGTGCATGAGATTCACGTTCAATGGAAAAACGTGCCTCACGCTGTTCCCTGTTTTCCGTAATTCAAGTGGCCATCATTCGAGAACGATGTGAACTCAATCGAGATTCTCGCTGAACTGAAATTTCTGTAACACGAAACTCGCCTGACGTTCTTGAGATGTAGTGAGTCTTGCCTCATGATCTTCTTCAAATTCCTGTGATCGAACTAATCTCATCCTTTTAGCATTCCTGCTGCACTCAGAGAGGATAATTCTTTTTCGGGGCATTTTTACAATAAGTAGTACCTGCTAACACAACATTGTTTTGTAAACACGTACTTATTACACAGTACAACTTTATTACAGCTTAATTAACTGTTATGGCGGCGCTTCCGGGATACGTGCGTTCGCTGCGAATAATTGAATGCTGTAGGCAGCGGCGCTTTTTTTCCTGCCTATGCTGATAGCCTTGAGAGTAGTTGAGAGGCTATTTCAGCTTTTGCTTGACCTGTAGGTGAGCTCACGGGGCTCAAGCCGGAGTGTTGTTAGCACTGGCCCTAGCAAGGGCAGATTACCTCTCATTAACTGTTTTGCATTGCATTGTTTTAAATTGTAAATGTTGTGCAATTTTTAAGAATCTCAATTAACTTTATAGATGACTTGCATAATAATTGCGTTGTTTAATTAAACATCGACATGTACAGGGTACGTCAATAATCCTGAAGTTTTAGTATTTATTGTATTCTAAGGCAGGTTTTAATTGACCGAGTATTTGCCTCGTAAGTGGCTGGCCCGTTTAGTATTTGTCTATTTTATTTATGTTCACTTCATAATATTATTAATTTCATACCATTTCATTTTAGGTTTTGTTTTATCATCAAGAGTCAAAAGTAGGTATCAACTATGTTGCCTTTGCCCGACCAATTGATATCTTTAATCATAAAATCTGTGCCTGATCAGATTAAAAGTTTGGTCTATGCTCGTTACACTCGTTAGGTAAAAGTTCAAAGTTCTGAAATAATTACATAGTTTACGTGTGTTTTGTTATTTGAAAATATAAATGCTCATTTAAAATTTAGGTATAAAAAACAATAACTGATAAATTATCACAATGTTTATGCCTTTCTCTAAAACCATTCAAGCTTTAGGTAAGCTACGTTTTTATTATTATTGCTTAGATAGGTGGACGAGCTCACGGCCCACTTTATGTTAAGTGGTTACTGGAGCCCATAGACATCTACAACGTAAATGCCGCCACCCACCTTGAGATATGAGTTCTAATGTCTCAGTATAGTTACACTACAGTTATGCTAATGTGTGTGTTACATTTACTTAAGGAAATAGGTACATTTAAATGCGTTTTTTCTAGGTCAATCAGTCACTAGACATACAAGATGCATCGCTTCTTTATCAGCATTATCTGAAGATTATCAGATGTTGCAAAAAACATGCCGTGATTTTGCGGAAGGCGAACTTAAGCCCAATGCTGCTAAATACGATCGAGATCATTTATATCCCGGAGAAGCAATTAAAAAATTAGGGGAACTAGGCTTAATGGCTATAGCGGTACCGGAAAAATGGGGAGGTGCAGGCTTAGACTATTTAGCATACGCTATAGCTCTCGAAGAGATATCCAGAGGTTGTGCTTCAGCTGGTGTTATAATGTCAGTGAATAACTCCTTATATCTTGGACCGCTGTCTCATTGGGGCACTGACAAACAAAAAGAACAGTTTGTAACTCCTTTTTGTACTGGTAAGTTTTATTACATTTATTGTAATCCAATATTAACATAAATGATACCTGAGAACACTATGAGGGTAAAAACTGAAATAAAAGGAACTGTGCATCAAACTATGATTATTATTGAATTGCTGTTGCAGGCTGATAACATATGGCCCAACTGTTAGTTAGTGCTTAATGTTGCCCGTGGGCATTACCATTCACTAGTCAGAGCCTAGTCAATAATGTTGTCCGTGGGCATCATCATTGGCTAGTCAGAGCCTAGTCAATGGCTACCACTGAGTACTCTTTGCAAAAACTAGTTTTAAGAAAGGCTTGTCAGACCTGGATTGTAGGTGATGAAGATGTCTATAAATGCACTTTAGGTTAACAGATTAGTGCCAAGTAGTATGGCTCAACTCTGTCATGGTGTATAGTGAATCGCTGAATCAACACAAATATTTCCTCAGAGCACTGCCAATCGTACATATAATACAGAAAATAGAACTAAAATTCCTCCCTCGAGCCTGAAGTTTTCAACTCATTGTTAAAGGAGTACATATTATGTTGACCTCAATAAAAAATATTTTTTATCTAGGTGATCCTGTGGGCTGCTTTGCTCTATCAGAACCCGGTAATGGATCAGATGCAGGAGCCGCCTCCACTACAGCAAAAGATGCGGGTGACAAGTGGATTCTGAATGGAACTAAATGTTGGATTACCAATGGATACGAGAGCAAAGCATCAGTAGTTTTTGCTACAACTGATAAGAGTTTAAAACATAAAGGTATTTCAGCATTTGTAGTTCCAAAACCTATAAAGGGTCTTGAATTAGGGAAAAAAGAAGATAAACTAGGTATAAGGGGGAGTTCAACTTGCTCCCTGATATATGAAGACTGTGAAATTCCCAAAGAGAACATCCTGGGTGAACCGGGGTTTGGATTCAAGATAGCTATGATGACTCTAGATGCGGGGAGAATTGGTATTGCTTCACAAGCTTTAGGTATAGCTCAGGTAATAAATTTAGATAATTTTATTGATAAATGGTTAGTAAAGCTATAAATATGACCTAGCAAAATTCACATTTTGATAATTTTAAATTTATTTATAATATATATAAAGTAAATAAATAAAAAATATTATAATATCTGAAGTGTTGATTGTGGTACAATTTTAATTACTTGATTTACTGATGTGTTAGTGACTGATTAGTTCATTTTCTGTTTACAGTCCTTGTTAAAGATTTTCAGTCTTGATAGTCATCGGTGAGAATACCTGTTCTTATCTCATATGTGGCCATAATCTTTAAACCAATTACTAAAATGTTTTGCATAATAAGATCTTCGTTTTTTCAGGCTTCACTGGATGTGGCAATAGAATATGCTTCGAAACGCATTGCTTTTGGCAAACCAATATTGAAATTGCAAGCTATTCAAAATAAATTAGCTGAAATGGCGCTCCGTCTTGAATCTGCACGCTTGCTCACATGGCGAGCGGCCTGGCTGAAGGACAACAAAAATCCCTACACTAAGGAGGCAGCAATGGCTAAGTTGGCTGCATCAGAGGCTGCTACGTTTTTATCACACCAATGTATCCAGGTGAATAATATTAAAATAGGGTACTCCCAAATATAGTCTACTTTCAAATAGAATCAGCACTAAATTCAAGTCCTTGATCACAGGGAGTCTTGAGTATCTAAGGTATTCATTACATTAATAATATAATGACAACAAAAGGAATGATTAAAACATATATATTTTTTTAATTCATGTACTCATATGATTAGCCAAAGTCACAGCCAAGCGTGACCAGGCTTCACTGCTATGTAAATAACTTTGATATTTATAAATTTTGATATTTTGATATAAGGTTATAGCATTGTCATCATTAAAATACAACAGCAAATATGATACAAAAATTTATGATAGTATTTTTTAAGTATTAAATGAATAGACAAGCTTACAGCCAACTGTTTTTTGCATAGATCTCTAGTAAAGTAGTAATTAAAGCCCGAAGACAGCATAGTGGATTACTTATTATATAAAAAAATTATATTTCAGATTCTTGGAGGAATGGGTTATGTATCAGATATGCCAGCAGAACGACATTACCGCGACGCTCGCATTACTGAGATTTACGAGGGCACCAGCGAAATACAAAGACTGGTTATAGCAGGACAACTGATCAAGGAATACGGACTGAATTAGAAACATTGGCCTTATGGACTACATTAATCTAAGATCAACGTGAATGCCATCACCTCCTACCTTGAAATATGAGATCGAAATCTCAATTGTATTGTATAAAGGCTGATCGTTCATTTAAGCTGTAAGGCAAGACCCCTTAAACAAATAGTGGTAGTATATATCGACGATTGAAAGGCAAAAGTGACTAAGCAACAAAAACTGCTTTGTACATAAATGATAGGCAATAACCATATTCGATGCGCAAAAAAAATATATTTCTAGGTCTATTAAAATCATTTCAATCCTACAGCTACTAGCTAGATTCTACTACAGCTAGATTCGTTAAAATAAATTTTGTTTTCAGGTATTTCAACTTTAAATTAGTCTACTGTAAAGTTCACGCGTAGTCGCTTAGTCATGTTAGCCTTTCAAGCGTCGATATCCGTCCATAGTAATACTCAAAAAACCTAGATAAAATACATAAGATCGAAAGTAGCACTAATTGCATTCGTTAGATGACGTTCTTTAGTTTTTGGGAAAAGAACAAAATCTAATAGACATATAAAACTGTTTAAAGGTAATTTCATAAAATGCAACAATTGACTATGTAAAATTACTTTTGTGTTCCTGTTTTATCTAATATTTTTCAAATATCTATGAACTTACTTGTTGAAAATAGATCTCGAAATATTAATCTTGAGTGCATCTTATCAATATTGTATAAAACTCATAGTTCAAATTGTGAAATTTCAAGTAAATAAATATCAATAGTTATTATTCAAAAATAGATAATTGATAAGTATCTCAAAGTGCTCTAACCATAGATAGTATAATAATATTTTATAAGGCTTATTATCAGATACCAACATATCTTACAATATCAATTTTTTGTTTATAATGTTTTTATAAATGTCATTTATATTTAAATGAAAACTTTGATCACATATTTATTATCATTTACATCAGCATTATACACTTGAGTATTAAAATAAATTACATTTTTATATGTATTAACAAATTGTTTCATTTTTGTATTACGGGTGGCATGATCTATATGCATAAAAAAATTGAGTGCATATTATTCATAATAATGTAAGTGTGATATTTTACAAACTGCAAACAACCTATTGACAAAATTGATACAAGCTTTATTTAATAAAACAGCTTTAAGATAAATATTTATTAATTTTACTAAAAGAAATTAAACATTACGATAATATAAATGCAGTTCTTAAAAATACTATTTACTGTCCAGGGCCAGACAAAGACTTATCCATGAATTTCCTTCTGGAAAAGCAGAGCCACCACTTGCTTGGTTTTCCATCTTCAGTGGCAAATACCTGATAACAAAAGATATTAATACCACTTTGAAACTTCATTTCATATTTCTGTGAGACAAGCATGAACAAAAAAATATTCCTATGTTTAGACTTAGTTTTAAAGTCTATTCCTTTTGAACCAAACAAGTTGATTTATAGAAAAAATAAAATAACATACTTTCTCGCACACTCTTGTCCCAGTCTCATGTCTCAATTGTTGTAAATACTGCCTCATTAAATCTGTAACCAAAAGGTTAGCTTAAAAACACCCCAAAGATAATTCTCACAACCTAATCTCCAGAACCAAAAATAAGTTTTTTTTTTAATTACTGTGGATAGGTTCGTGACACTTTTAGTATTAAGTGGTTACTATATCTTATACCATCAAATGTATAACACAACATGAATGTAGTCGCCCATCTTGAGTGATGAGCTTTATGTCATACCTTATTCTGCGAAGGCTCCCTTCAAACTTAAAAGCATGATTATTGAAACAGGATTAGGATTTGATAGTAGATCTACCTAAGCTCTTATATATTCTAGTTATTATTTTTAATTTGTAATCTTGAAATTTTATTGCTTAAAAAATAATTAATTGCTTAAAGGAATAAATAACTTAGGCTTAATCAAAATAAACTGATTTATCACTTTGTTATACATATTATAAGTGTCATTTGTATAGTATTTTCGGACTTTTGTACTATTTTAAAATTACTTCTCTAATTGCCCAATGAAACATAATTACACAATTAAAAAAATATATTTTTCAGATTTACCAGATTCTTGCTGACTGGTAGGCCTGGCATATACGGAGTTAAGCGGGAAACCTGGTTCCCCAGGAATGTCAAACTTAGATATAGCCAACATGTACATCTCTTGTTGACCTTGATTTTTGCTGGAACACTTCTGCAGTCTTTTAAGACATTCCGATACATATAATGTTAGGTAAATTAAAACTCTGTCAGCATCAGACTGCAATAAATCATTTACATTAGTCTCTTATAGCTCGAATACATTTTAATAACATAAATTTTATTGTAACTTTTTTTTTAACATCAGACAACTAATAAATAACGTACCTTTATTTCATAAAATCTAAAAAATACATTCGCTTTAAAATAGTTCAGCGCTTCATCTATTATATCCAACTCAATATCGGAGCTCGTTGGGGCGGGGCCTCTGAACGAAGTTCGAAGTGGTAAGATTGCAAGATTCCCAACTGTTTGACTGTAGTCAGTTAACGTTGAATGGTAGGCCTATAAAATATAGAACTTGTTAAATACTTGCAATTAGTAAATTAAACTGAACAGATTTAATTTAGTATATTAAATTCGTACAGGCATTTTATCGCTTGAGTGAGCTCCTTTGTAGTCTTCTTTAAAAAAATAATTCTAAACGTGAAACAATCTAAAAAGTGAAATGAGTAAAAACTAAATGATAAGTTATAATTTAAATTGATATAAAGCTATGTATTATCTTTTTTAACTAAATATGAATCACTGAACTATTAGGTATTTTAAACAAGGCAGAAGCATATTCTTTGACGTCTGTTTTGTGTAATTTGTCAATGTCACTTTGAGTTATAGGCATTAGGGTTCAGAGCATAGAGTTTTAGTCGTCTTAGGTTGTAATTTAATGTCTTTGCAAACACAAAAGGTCACAAAGAAAGTTTTTATTTAAGACGAACACAAAATTTAGAAAGATGGAGGAGGAGAAGTAACAAGAAATATATGATAGTCCAAGCAACACAAGCAGGTACACAAAACAAAAAGCAATAACTAGAAAAGGCGCAGCACAGATAGATAATATATAATAATAAATAAATACATGTGAGTCATCCACACACTTAATCATAGATATTACAGTTAATATTTATAATGAGCTCAAAGCTATACAATGAAGAGCCACTGTGTTTCATAAGCTTTCCTCTTTGCTTTTCGACACCAAAATGATGACTTCAATGTAGTCTCAAGAGCTTATTATAAAAAAAAAACGATATTCGAAAAGCACTATTGTCTATTTATTTATGTTCGAGACATTACGAAACATCGGACTTTTAAGAAGAACGCAAAAGCCGAGCAAAAACGAACTCACACAGGGTTCTGCGTCTCAGTTCTAAAATATGTTAAGGCACGACAACTTAAATTTATTTAATATTCTATTTTTATTTACTACAATTGTTGCTTATCAACCACTTAACATCTGCAAAAGTGCTCAAGTGTGGGATAATGAAACAAAGCGACGGAACGTATAGCTTTTCGGGATTTTCCAAAAAATCTACTGATAAAGTTTCAGTAGATAACCACCATTTTAATGAAATTCTATTTCATCCCATATCATCTCGTTTCATTTAATCCTAATCATTCTAATTGATAAATGTCTCTATTTAATCAACTTCGTTTCATTTTTTGCTAAACAGAATATTATACAAAAAATTACATTGTATTGATACCTTCACTTTTTTAGTTGGAAAAATGTTGTTACTGCCATAGATTATACACATTATTTGAAAAATGTGTCATAGTCATATGGAAGTGTGTACTATTATTGATCGAAGGGAAGTGTGAGGTTAGTTTTAAACTGTATACATTGAAAATACGAACAACAAATTAAACAAAAATACTAACAAAAATCGTAATGGCTGATGAAACGCAGGCGAAGGTGTCTTCAATTGTCACAGATATTACAAAGTCTCGGGATAAATACAAAGAGGTCACAATAGCAAATAATGCGCCCGTTCTAAGCGAGAAAAGAAAGCAGGAGAAGGGGAAAACAATCAGAGGTATCCCAAAATCTGGCAGGTTCTGGAAGTCTAAAAAAGAAAAGTAAGCCATTAATTTACATGATTTTATGAGTAAAATATTACACATTGCACAATTAGATTTTATCATTATCACCATCATCTCAGCCTCTCCATTGGCCACTGTCTAACATAGGCCTCTCCATTTGTTTTTTTTTAAATACATACATAGGTATTGCTAGGCATAGTCATTGTGCCAATTGTGGTAAAATTTAACTATTTTTGACTTCGAGATTTAATGTTTAGTTTTGAAAATGTAAAAAATAAATACATTAGACAACATTACCACTTTACCATTCTAATATAATGCATGTTTTAGATTCTCGTCCATTAATAAAACAAAAGGTCTCAAACAAGACTTTTCCAAGAAAACGGCATTGAGATTGGAACTCAAGCGAACTAAGGAGTTATCTAAGCAAGCTCTTGAACAATTGAAAGAAAAAGAACTTAGCCGTAAAGAAAGGCGGCGTCAGAATTTGAAAAAGGCAGAGGAGAACAGAAAGAAATCAGAAGTAGTGCAAGTAATAACAAACACAACAAAACTTAAGAGAATGAGAAAGAAACAACTTAGATTCATTGAGAAACGAGACACTAATAAGGAAGTTGAAAGTAGTAAATAAATATACAACAAATTTTCTTGTTTCATTATCTAATCTTATATTTAGTAGAAGGCAGCAGGTGACTAATACTCCTGACATTGCTGATTTCCGTTAGCATTGGTGACCACTACCCATCAGATGACCTATGCAACCCTCTGTTACAATAAAACAAAGCATCCGACAATGAAAAAGGATTTTTTAAATGCAGCTTTTCTTTTTTACTTATTATTATATTAATCTGGAACTTATATTTTAATAAATTTCATCATACCACTGTTACTAATCAGAATAATAAGCTCAATGTTTTCAACTGTCAACAGACAGCCTGCCATAATTGTAATGGTTCCATTTTTGATATTACGGAACCAAAAAATCAAATGAAACACCAAAAAATAATTTCATCTAATATTTTTATTAAGTATTCATAACTTCAAATATATTCTACAGATACGTATAAAAATATTAGACGCATTCCCGGTTTTTGTATAGGAAATGATTTATGTGAATGTTAAATATTTACAACAATGTTCAACACTTGGGATGACAGATGAGTAATGACAAATATTGTGATGACAATTACAGGAGGACATCAATCTTAAACTTTAAAACTTTATGTACATTATAGGAAACAAAACACTTCATTTAAATATCTATAAAATCACCAATATGACTGTATTTTAAATCGAATCAAGAAAGTACAAATAACCAGCTAAAAACTTCATAAGAAAGAAAAGCCTAAAAATCATGTAAAATCATCATAAGATATCAGTTGTTTTACTTTCCAGAAGCCTCAATAAAATCACTCTTGTAGAAATAATGTTACTTATTTATTTTACGCAAAACTTACACTTATAAAGAAACTATAAAAAAATTACTAAAAAAATAGTCAAAAACTCATTGAAAATGAAATCACACAACGCAAATATATGTTTTAGAATGTAGCATCTTAACCGTTTTTTTTTATTAAATTCAATTAATTTACAACAACAGTAGTGTTGTTATAATAATAACAACAATAGCTAGTACATAGCTTAAAATCTATATTTTTTTTAGACTAACAGTTTTGTCTATAATACTTCTTCTCAACAAATAGAAAAAATCTTCATTGAAAACATCAGTCTAAGGCAGTGACAACAAACTTTTGATTACATTGAAAGTAAAGATATGATTTACATCTAATTACAAAGGTAAAAATTGTGAGAGAAAATCGTAAAAAATTGTAAGCATAAAATGAGATTCAAAGACTTAGTACTATGATGGTTCATTTTACTATGCTGTAAAAACCGAAACCTAGCTGAAGAACAAGTAGGCGGATTTTACATTTAAATAGACAATTTGGCGCAACAAGTCACATTAAAATTAAAACTGCAACTAAAGAACCAATAATCTTACAAAACTTCAATGAAATGTATACAAAGTCTGTTTTCCTTATATATATATATATATATATATATATATATCTATTTAGATTCACTAATAATAAGTTTGTTTTGTATAGACAATAATATATAACAAAACTCATAAGAATAACTTTTTTTTTTTATTTCCATAATTTCCTTCTTTATATACAACTACAATCGAGTTAGTATGATTAAGCAGAATAAGACATTTTTGTTTCATTTATTTTCATTGAAACGTTTTGTGATTTCATCAAATTATCAGATATTCCTAGTTACGCCAATGTAATTTTTTTTTCGTTTCACTCTCAATTGTTAATTAAACAGATCATAACACTGAAAAAAGGTTACGCATCCAATAAAATACATTATAAAAATGTAAATAGAAAAAATCAACAAAGAAATGCTTTGTTCTAGTACGAGTATTCGAGTAATGTTAAAATGTTATCACTGAAATCGATTTTTTTTTAATACGCACTCGTTAAAAATGAACAATCGTAGTTTTCCAATTCCAGCACTAGAGCGCAATATGCGGCATAATGCTCAACGTTGAATGTTCCAACTACAGCAACACTTCGCACAATCGAGCACTCTCAAAAGTACTGCTCTCGCGTGATACTCGCAATCGATACCGACTCAGTGACAGAAAATTGACAAGTGTTTTTTCTTTAAGTTGGCATTGATCGAAATTTTGTTTATATTATCGTTAGTAATATTATTTAATGTTAAAAAAAATTGTAAGGCTTTCGTTTCGTCGTAGTTTCTTAGAAATAATCAATGTTAATTAAAACTGTGCTAACTTAGCGCACTCTGCTGATGCATTTGAAAACTAATTCACGTTCCAATTAAGCTTCAGCATAATTCGGCATTGTGCGTCACCGAGTCGCATTATGTTCTGTAATTGGAAAACTACCAACACGAATGCACGGTAAATGATGGTTTTACAGTAATTCCTAATACTGCAATACTGTCAATAAAGTGCGCAAAGTTACCCTGTCACACGTAACTTCCGTTTGTATTCATAAATCGAAACAAAAGCGTATCGTATAAACTTAGAACGTAAAACGTATGTCTTTATTTACTAATGCACACCGATTCACGTGAACAACTACACTGTGCCTGTACGATTAGACCCCGTTTGATTTGTGACTCGCACTGCAGTGGAACAGTGGAACTGGTGATGGCTCGCTAGTCGCTGACGGCACGAGCACACGTAGCGGGGGCGGGGGGCGGCGCGGGACGAGGCGGCGAGGGGGACAGTCACACGTCGAAGTCGCCGCCTCCCTTGCCATTAGGCGGAGCTATGAACGGTTCGCTCCACATTCTTCTTAAATCGCCCTGTAATTTAAACAAATAGGTTATTCAAATCGGAAGTCCCATTGTTCTCTTTCAGACAACAAGCCGAAGTCTTAATTGCATTAAATTGTCGCAAGCTTACTCCTCCCTTGACCTCTTCATTATAAAAACAGGCAAGACAGTGGCAGTAAGTATTAGTATTATTAAAAATAAAAAATCAAGGAGCGAGCGTCACTTCCTCGAGTTGCTATGTAGTGAATAATGATTAGCATATAAGGTTTTTCGCAAAAACATTACTCAGGCAACACAGGTCTGAATTTTTTTCTAGTGTGTAAAATGTCTAGTCGTAGACATAATGGCAACAAATTACCTTAACATATGCCATCGTAAGTAGAGGCAGCAGCGTGAAGGGCACGAGGTAGAGTAGCGCGGGCTGCGCCGCCTTGAACACCTCCGCCGACACGGTGGCCGTCAGCAGACCCAGGAAGTAACCCAGCAACGAGCAGTGGAAGTACGTCAGCCTCGAACCCTGCAACAGTCCAACATAAATACCAGGATCCCTCCCTTACGGCAACGTGACGTAATATGACCACAGGGGTCAAAACCCACGCAGTTTACTGGTAGTAGGACCTCTTGTGAGTCCGCACGGGTAGGTACGACCACCCCGCCTATTTCTGCCGTGAAGCAGTAATGCGTTTCGGTTTGAAGGGTGGAGCAGCCGTTATAACTATACTGAGACCTTAAAACTTATGTTTCAAGGTAAGTAGCGTATTTACGCTCCAGTAACCACTTAACACCAGGTGGGCTGTGAGCTCGTCCACCCAACTAAGCAATAAAAAAGGTACCATTTTAAACGCTAATTACCTACTAAACGTTTATTAATTCACAATAGTATTAATTTTACTATCCATTGTTAATGTGTGCTATGTAAACTATAGACAAAAGTATTACCATAGAACGAGGCCCTGGCACTTGTCCCATTTGGCATACTAGAGTCGCCTTCTTGTAAGCATCGTATCGCAACACGAAGCAAAGCAATAGTCCCGGCATCACGATATCACCCAGACCTACAGACATAAAATTTATTACTGTTACAATAATATTTCGCAACAATACTGAAAATAATCTATCTATATATATAAAAATGAATTGTTGTTCGTTAGTCTCGCTAAAACTCGAGAACGGCTGGACCGATTTGGTTAATTTTGGTCTTGACTGATTTGTGGAAGTCCAGAGAAGGTTTAAAAGATAAATAAATATGAAAATGCTCGGAATTAAATAAAAATAACAATTTTGTTTTTCCTTTGATGTGTCCCCCGTCGGACGGATTCCTTTTGTTTGTTTTAAGTTTATTTTATACAAAAGTTTAGGTCTTTTATTNAAACTCGAGAACGGCTGGACCGATTTGGTTAATTTTGGTCTTGACTGATTTGTGGAAGTCCAGAGAAGGTTTAAAAGATAAATAAATATGAAAATGCTCGGAATTAAATAAAAATAACAATTTTGTTTTTCCTTTGATGTGTCCCCCGTCGGACGGATTCCTTTTGTTTGTTTTAAGTTTATTTTATACAAAAGTTTAGGTCTTTTATTGATCGATTGAGGCACTACGAAGTCTGCCGGGTCAGCTAGTTTTGAATAAAAATAACCGTGCTGTCACGAAACGTAAACATTATCAAGGCAAGTTATTATTTTAATTCGAATATCTTGTACTCACTTGTACTTGTTATCATCTGAATCAGAACTGAATATTATTCTGTCGTTTCGAGTTTCTAAATAAAATATCACTAATCGTATATTTTTCGTAGTACTAGTAGGTAGAGGCTTAGCTCTGTCGCTGGCACTGCTGGCGTCCATGAGCGACGGTAACTAATCACCATCAGGTGGGCCGTATGTTCGACTGCATACATGGGCAAAATATAATAATAATAGCTAATATATGTAGTATATTTAATTTATATATTTAGTTGTTTTTGCAGTTTGTCTATATTGTTTTTATTGGGAGTTTGATCTGAGACCGCACAGGTCGGTATTTCTGTATCGTATATTTTTGCTGCGTCACGTTTTCGAATTCCGGTTCGATGATTGGGACAGCTCTTCTATACTAATATTATAAAGAGGAAAGATTTGTTTGTATTGAATAGGCTCCGAAACTACTGAACCGATTTGAAAAATTCTTTCACTGTTTGCAAGCTACACTGTCCCCTAGTGACATAGGCTATATTATTTTTTAACAAAAATTAGGGATCCTTGTTAAACCTCCAATAATGTAACCCAAGGTGTAAAAAAATTACCTAAAATTTTTGCTAAAGACCCGAGCGAAGCCGGAGCGGTCCGCTAGTACACAATAAAACTGAGGCTTCGATCTCATGTCTCAAGGGAGGTAGCGGCAGCCACGGCAATGAAGTTATACATTTTTTCATTAAAATTTGATGAGTTTAGGTGTCGTGTTTTTTTTTAATTTCCTTATAGGCGGACGAGCATACGGCCCACCTGATGGTGAGTGGTTACCGTCGCTCATCGACGTCAGCAATGCCAGGGGCAGAGCCAAGCCGCTGCCTACCGTTAAGTAGGAGTACTGTGGATGAACGCAGTGGCTCCAGGTAGTATGGATGAACTCTACTACTGAGACGACGGGATCATCTTAAAAAGCCCACTGAGTTTAACGCCGGATCTTCTCAGTGGATCGCGTTTCCGATCCGGTGGTAGATTCTGCGAAGCACTGCTCTTGCTAGGTGTAGTGTTAACTGAGTCATGCCTCTGCCTACAAAGTGATATGTCGACTGACCGAGCATGGAGAAGTGTCCCTGGTGGTGCATGGAGGGGAACACGAGCTTGGCGGGCAGGGACAGCTTGGGCGCGTCCCGCATGCCGCCCAGCTGCAGCCGCCGCGCCACCACGTTCATCGGGTTCTCGGCCGGCCTGAAGCATCACATTATACTATTGTTATATAATATATAGGGTGCATAATGCATTTTTACATTTGCCAAACACTTTTTAATACGCTTTTATTAGCTTCAGACGTATGTATGTTAGTATGTATGTAACGGAATCTTTGAACATGATTTTGACCCCCTTCAAAACTAGAAATTTGGTATACTTATTAAAAACCGATGACAAATTGAAATTCAACTAAAAAATGAAAAATAATTAATAGTTTAAAAAAAACAAAAAAAAATTAATAAAAAAATTAAATTGTAAAAAAAAAAGTGTGGGGTGCTTTTCAGGATATTAACAAAATAACCCTTCTACTCATATCTATTCATAAAATATTTATAACCACTGATACCATGCACCCCACGCTTTTTTTACAATAGTCATTTTTTATACACTAATTCAAATTTATTAAAATTTATTTTCTATTTTTTAGTTGAATTTTCTATAAAAGAGTTTTTTTTAGTTTATTTAAACTAATTTTTTTTCACAAGAACCACAAGTGGTTTCTTCTTACGTTAGAGCATTGTTTATTACTCTTTCGGCTTCGGACACACTTCCTTTACACAATGTACCGATTAATCGAATTATATGATCTCTCTAATTTCAAATAATATAAATGAGAGTACAATCCTGTGTGATACGTCAACTTCTTTATAGGTTTTAAAAGTGCAGATCTAATAATTTTAACGCTTACAGAAAATCGAATAAAAATTTCTAACATTTTCAGAATATTGAATGCGTTTACTTTATTTTAGTGATCTTTACTTTACATTGTGAAGGCCCAGCAGTGTGTACCAGCGGGGTACCCTAGGACTACAACAACAAGAACAACATTTAAAATACAATAATATTGTTTTATATTGTACGGTAATATTGTTTTTTTTTTGTTCACGCGTCTTGGGCCAGATTGAATTGAAACTCTAATTTTGTTTTACCTCCCCACAGGTTTTAATCATAACGTGGTGGAATCATAATTCGACGCTTGAAAGGCAAACGTGACTAAGCGACTTTACAGTAGACTAATTTAAAGTTCTAATACCTGAAAAACATTCTATTTTAACGAATCTAGCATTTAAAGTTCTAATACCTGAAAAACATGACCTAGAAATATAAATTTTTTGCGCATCGAATATGGTTATTGCCTATCATTTATGTACAAAGCAGTTATTGTCGCTTAGTCACGTTTGCCTTTCAAGCGTTGAATTATTATTATGCGTATCTAGTTTTATAGTTTAATTTCAAATTAAATATATCAGTGCATTCTTACCGAGTAGCGACTTTCACCATGACGTTGGTAGTGAAGATATAGGAGGAGAAGAAGACCCAGAAGACGTCGTACAGCAGGAGCCCGGTCAGCAGCAGGGTGGAGACCTTCAGCGACGGCAGACGGATGAGGGCGATGAACGTCACGCACAGACCCATGCCCATGGCTGTCGACAGAGGGACGCTACGTGTGATTATTTTTTAAAAAGGAATTTTATGACCTGGTAACTAAGACCTTACCTACCGAAGAACTTAGAACTTATATCTCAAGATGGGTGGCGCATTTACGTCGTAGATGTCTATGGGCTCCAATAACCACTTAACACCAGGTGGGCTGTGAGCTCGTCCACCCATCTAAGCAATAAAAAAAAAACTTCAAAACCATCTCAAACAATTCGTGGGCGTACCGTCCATGAGCAGCCAGTGTCCGGTGCAGACCCACACGGCGACGATGGCGGCGGCGGACAGCGCGGCGGCGAGCTCGGGCGCGGAGTAGCGGCCGCACAGCACGGCGCCGCGCCCCGCGCCCGCCACGTACTGGCACAGCGGCGTCAGCAGGAACGCCAGCGCCGCGCACGCTATTACTGGAACACGCACGCGCACCACACATCTCACCACACATACTACAAAGTTAACATAATATAAATTGTTATTTAATAAATAATAGTTGAAAAAACTAAAAAATACATGGGTGCATGGTGTTATTAGTTATAAATATTTCTCTGACAGATATGAGTAGAAGAATTATTATTTCGATAATATCTTAAAAAGCACCTCCCGCTTTTTTAAAAATAAAATATATTTTACACTATTTTCAGTTTAAATTTATTAAAATTTATTTTCTATTTTTTTGTTGAATTTTATATAAAGCGTGTTTTTTAGTTTTTTAAACTATTATTTATTTGTCATTTTTTAGTTAAATTTTCTATAAAAGCGTATTTTTAAAACTATTAAGTACTTTAACATCAATTCCACCCTTATCGTCGACTATAGATAAAAATTATATAAATTGGCAAAAATCTTATTTTGCAAATTGAATAATGGAATAATCTTATCAAATTAGTGTAGTCATCGGTCCTCGATAAATCCACAAAGTTTGAATGAAATCTAGCTGTTTAAAGTGGGTCAAAATCGCATCTAAAGGAGTCAGTTACAAACATACAAACATACATACAAGTGAAGCTAATATAAAGCGTGTCAAAATATAAACGCTTTAATAGTACGACGAAGTAAAATGTAAATCGATCACCCTTTTTATTAAATTATATTTATAAACGCATACCAACAAAGAAGGTTTCTATTTAAAAAAACAGTGCTTTTTAACCGTTGTCAAAGAAACATTTTTTTTTCTTTTTTTTTCCCTTGTAGGCAGACGAGCATACGGCCCACCTGATGGTGAGTTGTTACCGCCGCCCGTGGACTTCAGCAATGCCAGGGGCAGAGCCAAGCCGCTGCCTAACAAACTACATTCTCACGAATTATCTAATACAAAGTTACATAGTAAGTGGTTACACAAAATAGGAAAAAAGTAATGAAACCTTTCCATAATAATATCCATGCGTAATGTGCATTCATAAACATTATAATACACATTTATTTATCGAATATGTATTCACTGGTGAAATTTTATTTGAATGGAAATATTTAAGCTTTACCACGGATCTCGATGAACGCCATAGAGTTTAGAGGAATCGGTGAAGGAACCAATTTCTGGATCTAGCAATGGCTAATAAATATGCCCTAGCAAAGTGTCATCGGGTATCTCTTACTTGCAGTGCAGATGGCGACCAGGGTCTGCATGGAGTCAAAGAAGAAGAACATGATCAGCAGCGCTACGGACGAGCCCAGGGGGAAGCACAGCGCTTGCATCGTGTTCAATGTCTGCACGTCTGAAAGGAAATACATCACAGATGTTACTTCAAGTCCAGCATGAAATATTACTTAGGTATAAAGTTAGCACTCATCACAAAAAATGAGAGATATAACGAAATATATGGAATGCCTATTTAAAAAAAAATTTCGCCAAGACTACATTATAAAAAATATTAACAAAGACATACAATATTTAATCTATTCTCAATTTGACCACAGACGTCAAGAACAAAAGTTTCGACAATAAATAGTATGCATGTGTGTGTGCGTCAAATACATGGTATGTAGTGTGTGTAATGTTTTCTTTATTGATTTAATATATCTTTTATGCATGATTAAAAAAAAAATATTAGCGTTGTGCACTCCTTCTCTATATTCTCTATAAGTGTGGGAAATTTCATACTCCTCCGTCCGCGTAATTTTCGTAAAAAGGGATACAAAGTTTTTCCTTCACGTATTAATATAGATTATACATATATTAATATTACTATATTATTTCTTAATATGTTGTTGTATATACTATATGTTTATTATTTTGTATCATGGTAATACTATCGTTATTATTACACATTATGTCGGTGTGACAATTTATTCCTTGTGTGTGTGAGGATTGGATAGATTTTCATTCTTTCTTACGAATGTCATGGCCAAATATTGGAAAATACAGATATTTAGTATTACGCAATTTAATGAGGATATTACGATTACTGATAGATGATGATGTGGAGTTTTATTTAAACTGAAATCGGTAAGTACGCACTGTTGTTGGAGCTCGAAGGTGTTGCGGGTTTCCCTCCTAGCAGAGACGCCTCTCTTTCTCTCTCAGCTCTCTCGCGAGCCTCCCTCTCCATGTTCAGTGAACGGAAACTACCGTAGACTATCAGTAGCATCGAGATCAGACAGGCTGACACCCTGAAAAGCGTATTAGTGTTATAATTTTAATCTATACTAATATTATAAAGCTGAAGAGTTCGTTTGTTTGAACGCGCTAATCTCAGGAACTACTGGTCCGATTAGAAAAATTATTTAAGTGTTAGATAGCCCATGTATTGAGGAAGGCTATAGGCTATATAACATCACGCTAAGACCAATACAAACGGAGCACCAATAAAGAATGTCTCAAAATCGTTTTTTCTTTTTCTTTCTACGTAAATGAAGTCGCAGGTAAAATTTAGCGTTATGCCAAAGTAACTATTCCACGCGGACGAAGTCGCGGGCAAAAGCTAGTTTAACATAAAATTATTATGGATTGGTGAAACAATATTTTAAACAGGGCAATACTTCTACATGGTTAATTAAGTATATTATTATAATAACATGTTTATCGGTTTTCATATTTTTTTTATATAACCAGCATTAATTTAAGTAAACAAACAGTTAGTACGATATTTTTATGTAAATAAAATAACTTATACAATCTCAAATTGCTTATGCAAGTACATACGAGACTGATGCAGTTTTTATTTATTTTAGAAAACTTCAAATAGCGTGATTTTGAAGACAAAAGTTTCCAAAGGCCACCTTTTTATATTAAATCTTGTTTTATTATTATGACATGTGCTACACTTTATCAGTGCACGACAGGTGTTTATGAATGCCTTTCCGTGACCACGAAAACCTTAAAGTGTCCGAAAAATCGGAATTAAATAATATACAATTAAAAAAAACGCGGGATTAAACCGTAAAATCGATTTTAACTATGACCACGATTCCTGAAAACCGAAGAAACCAGTAAATCGTGTTTTATTCGACCATCGTCCGTGTATCTATACTAATATTATAAAGAGGAAAGATTTGTTTGTTTGTTTGTTTCGAATAGGCTCCGAAACTACTGGACCGATTTGAAAAATTCTTTTTCCATTAGAAGCCGACATTGTCCCTGATGAACATAGGCTACTTTTTTTTTTTTATTTTTTTTTATTTTTTTGGTTTCATGTGTGTTTTAATGTTTCCGAAGCGAAGCGAGGGCGGGTCGCTAGTGTTGAAATAAAATGATCGAGCAGTGGAAAGCACACACATTTTTACAACACAGCGTACACATAGCGTTTTACAAAAATGTAAATTACGGAATTACCCACAATTCTTAAATGTCTTTTTTGTTTTGTTTTCTTTATTTTCATTCAACCCACAGACGTCCAGTATAAATAATGATACGGAAACCTAACCCGGCTCTGCGGCCGTAGTGTAAATCATTCTCGGTGCTCGCACTCGTAACGTTAGCCGCAATCAGTTAGGACAGTGGTCGGCATCTTGTCAACCCAAAGACCCAAATATAGATAACAACACAATTTAAATTTATTTAGAGAGCATTTATTTAACATATCTTTGTTTGACTTGTGTGTTTTAAAAATATTTACTCGTCTCTCACAAGGCAAAATAATAAGTAATATTCCTGTAGAGACATGGACGCTCACAAAGCAAAACCCACTGAGTTTCTCGCCGGATCTTCTCAGTGGATCGCGTTTCCGATCCGCTGGTAGATTCTGCGAAGCACGGCTCTTGCTAGGGTTCGTGTTAGCATCGTCGTCAGGTTTGAGCTCCATGAGCTCACCTACTAGTTAAGGTTACGTTGAAATAGCCTCTCAAGGCTATCAGGTTTGAAGGGTGGGGCAGACGTTGTAACCATACTGGAGACGTTAGAACTTATATCTCAAGGTGGGTGGCGCATTTACGTTCTAGATGTCTATGAGCTCCAGTAACCACTTAACATCAGGTGGGTTAATAGCTCGTTCCCTAGTAAAGCAAAAAAAAAAATCAAAACAAAATCAGCTTAGGTAGGAAAAAGAAAAAAAAAAAGGTATGATCTGAGAAAATCCGTGCGCCGAGTCTAAATCGCTCTGTAACATTTTCTTTTGGCAGGCACACATTGCCAAGCGATCCGACATCAGAAGCTGGCATTTAATGGTACATCGGCAATTATCAAGAAACTATTAGACGGTCTCAAATATACGGAACAACCAACATTATTACAGTACAGTACATACAAAGTAATTCCTTGCCGATTCTGCAGGTATTTATTTTCATGCTACGCTACATCTTGAGACGGACACACGACTCGCTTGCTATTCCGTGGTTATATATAAATAATTTCACGCAATTTAAGACATGAGGTCGAAACCTCATTTATGTTGTGTATCCGACTAAGCTCTACCGCATGACTGTTTCGGGCCAAAAACAAGCTGAATTGTACTATTTGGTCGGGCGTGATCACGTTACTCCTTCAATACATTCCTAAATTCATTTATATACAAATTTAGGCCCCAAATCTCCCGAGCAGATCGACTGTAACGTACAGAAAAGTAGCAAAAATTTACATCGATTCCGTTTTCACCCATTTATAATTTATAAAGAGAGCTCTCGACTCTATGATATTTCTTTTCTATAATAATGTGTTTTATGCATAAAAATTGGAATAAATTAATATATACTCGAATGTCGATTGTTTAATAACAGTTTTCAAAGTCACGCGATAGCGACCTCTACCTTATTTATGACGTTTATTACAATGCCCGACTACTTTTAAAAATTATGCACCATTTTCGTATTTCGTATATTTATATAACAATAGTGCAGTGCGCAAGCAGTTTTGGGATAAATCAAAATGACAACGGAAGACGAATAAAAAGAAAAAGAAATAACATGTACTGTGTAGCCATTTAAAACACTTTATCGACCGCTAACATATTCTACGGCTTTCTGTGGCCAAAGCTTATCGAACGATAGCCTATAAAATACTATAAATCGACATGAGAACTATTCGCTTGAGGTACCGACGGTTTTAGCAGCTGTATACTACTAGCAACTCCATTTTTTTTTTTAAAGTCGTAACTCTAGAGAATCTGCGGGAGGGAGCCACATCCGGGTTGCCATCAGTATGGGCACCCGGACTATTACGCTCCATACGTGGTATAAGCGTGCCCGCATTGGGTACATCTGCGGCAAAACCTCTCCGAGCTGCTGGGGCGAGACTTCTCCGTGCGGGCTGTCGTCGTCCGCATGGTATGAGATCGGAATTCGTGGGAGGTCATGACGTTCCGTGAGGCTAAGGAGCGCGAAAGTGAGTGGGATCCCTCTTCGGCTCCTCAGCGCAGAAGGCGGGATGGGCGGCACAGATACGAAGCCCCCGCTCAAGTCTCCCGTAGGAACTGTCGGGTGCCGGATGAGTGCACGGGGCTCGGCTGTCGGTCCAGTCTGGTGTCGCCCAAGACGAAATCTTTCGGAATCTTCCCGGGAATGAAATCCCGTCCTATCGTCAGGGCGGGTACCGGCGAAGGCGTCCTTACGGCGCGCTTTATGCGGTACCGTAGGTTTCGTTTAGCCGGAGTGGTGCATGGGGTTTAGTCGGTATTCGGTTCTGCAGGGTCGGTCGGTCTTGCGAGGGTCACGCCGCGCTGCGACTCGCGCGCTTCTTCAAAGCGTTCCAAGGAGGAATTGGAAGAGGAGCATTATCTCCTTCTTCCTCTTCTCTCTCTTTTTCTCTGGAGGCGCCCGAATCCGATATAACCCGGTGCGCTAACCCCCTCAACTGAGTATCTTTAAGCGGATTCCCCACAGATTAAAAAAGTACAATTCATTATTGTATTTAATAATATATGTACAGTTTTAAAGTAAAATATGTATATCTGTAACTTTGTTCGTGTTGTGTTTGCGCGTCGTTAACGCACGTCATCACGGATCTTCCTGATCCATTAAGGGTGCTTTTAGGCACTACAAGCACCGGTCACCGTCCTCGTCGAACCCGACGCTTGCGACGAAGGGCTCGACGAGCGAATTAACCCACAGACACAGCCCACTGAGTTTCTCGCCGGATCTTCTCAGTGGGTCGCGTTTCCGATCCGGTGGTAGATTCTGCGAAGCACTGCTCTTGCTAGGGTCAGTGTTAGCAACTCTCCGGTTCGAGCCCCGTGAGCTCACCTACACACGCTAGGGTAAGCTGATATAGCCTCTCAAGGCTATCAGCATAGGTAGGATAAAAAAAAAGCGCGTTAATTCTTTGCTTAACTGAAATTAGGACAATCGTTGATGGTACTTTAATCATAGCGTAGTATGATCGGAATTCACTTGAAGACTATATTGTTCATATTATTAACAACGCCCATCGAAAAACTGTAACCGATCGCAATCATTTACGGTTCGTATAAACGTCCAATAAACCCCAGCCCGACAAAAATAATCTTGCCCAAATATAACTGACCTCAAACCGATGATCGATAATTTTATATCCGAGCCATAAAATTAGCGTTTATTGCCCTTTACGTAATTAAATTAAGTAACGTCCAGCGACGCGGATGTCTCCCGAATGAAACGTAATTGTAACGAGACTGCATCAATTAACAGAACGCGTTGCGAGGACGCCACGACAAACAACAGGGGGTACTTACACGTATTAAAAGTAACAATAGACTTTTTTTTTTCCTACCTATGCTGATAGCCTTGAGAGGCTATTTCAGCTTACCCTAGCTTGTGTAGGTGAGCTCACGGGGCTCAAACCGGAGAATTGCTAACACCGTCCTAGCAAGAGCAGTGCTTCGCAGAATCTACCACCGGGTCGGAAGCGCGACCCATTGAGAAGATCCGGCGAGAAACTCAGTGGGCTGTGTCTGTGGGTAAATTCGCTCGTCGGGCCCTTGCTTGTATTGCCTAAAAGCACCGTTAATGGATCAGGAGGATCCGTGATGACGTGCTTTGGGCGACGTCGACGGTTTACCATTCGGTCTACAGGATCGGGTATGTAGTTTCCAGCGGCCACGACAAGAGGGTTCTCATGTCGTGCCGTCTTCTCAAAGTGGCGCAGCGATGCCGACTGTAGATACTTATTGACGGGGAACAATAGACATGGAGAAAGTTAAGCATTTTATCGCTTTTTAGAATTGAAAACGTATTTCTGAGAAACGACCGCGAGTATTGCCTTT